GCTCAGGAAGCCGCTTTCGAGGATCCGGCTCTGGAGGGCGCTTACGAGGAGTGGACACTGGAGGGCGCTCTGGAGGGAGGATAGGGGCCGAGAACTCAGGAGGAATCGCCATATCCAGGAGTTCGGGGACATGAGCCCTCACTAGAGCGAGCTCTGGGGCTGGAGCCGACACCGGAGCGAGCTCTGGGGCTGGAGCCGACACCGGAGCTGTAGCCGACACTGGAGCGAGCTCTGGGGCTGGAGCCGACACTGGTGCGAGCTCTGGGGCTGGAGCCGACACTGGAGCGAGCTCTGGGGCTGGAGCCGACACTCTCTTCCTCCGCAATCTCCTCTTTTGGGCTGAAGAGAGGGAGATGACTGTCGGGCTTGACAGCGGAGAGGCCGGCGAACTTGAGTGCTGAACGGCCGGCGGGCTTGTGTGAGCTGCAGCCAGTGGGCTTAACATCAGAGCGTCCGGCGAACTTGAGTGAGCAGTGACCAACAGGCTTGTAGTAGCCACGGCTGGCAGGCTTGACTGATGAACGGCCGGCGTTTCTGGGTTGAGGACAATGGTGGAGCTCCGAAGGATATGGGGGTATTTGGGGCGGGGCAGGCGGTCCGAGCCGTGGGTGCGGTAGGTGGGGTTTTCTGGCGTTGGGTCAGCTGGCGCGACGCGGGGTGCCTCAGATGGAACTGGACGACAAGACTGTAACTTTTCCCTTATTTCTTCAACTTCAAAATTGGAACTGTTTAAATAAAGAACGAGATTGACCAGCTCAATCAGGGGAAAGTCACTCACGGGCAGATCATCTCGCCGTCCTGCTCCATCAGAAAGCGCACACCAAGAGCGGTGTCATGCCAGCTGAGCTGGTTAGGGTCGTGGTGCGGAGGAAGCACACGGAGAGGAAGTAATCCACAATAGAGACTTTAATTATCCAAACAAGAACAAAACCCTCGGAAACTGTGGGAGACAACAACCACGATGTAACATTAACGCAAGACAAGGGAACTGATGAAAACACAGGGCTTATAAACACATGGAACGTAATCAGGAAGAACAGAAACAGATGAGGAGTAATCCAGGATAATTAATAGAACACAGCTGAGACAAATGGAACTTAATACAACAGGAATCAAACCAAATAAGGACAAACGGGAACATATACATGACAGTAAGTCAGCTGCAGCCCAATTTGGAAAACATTTGAAAAATATGGACCGGCTTCATGTCTCTCATTAGAGGTCACTGATTTTGCAAGCATATGGTTATGTTGCTTTTATCTTGAATAGCTGTATTAGGCATGTAACTCTATTGTACTATAAATAGGATTGTTTCTATGTTTTCATTGTACTATAAGTTTAACTGAACTATAAAACTTTGAAAATAAAACCGCATTAGTTAAGAAGATTACAGAGTAATGTTTTAATTTTATTAATTCATTTTTAAATATTATGAACTCAAATGATGGGAAACATGAAAACTTTGATTTTGATTTAATACATTTTGGTATAATGCAGTGTTTATTTTCGGTCCACGGCCCTCAATCAAGTTTGATTTTTGGCCCTTCATAGGAAAAAAGTTTGGGCACCTCTGCTCTAACTCGTTAAAGAAGTTGCTTGTTAAAGTGACACTGTCAGTGAAATTGTAGAGAAACATGGAATGTAAGTATATGGTTGTTTAACAGCTGTAAAGTGTATCTTTTGCACTTACAATATTTAAAAATACTTTACAGAAATATTTGTAATATTAATATTACTTTGATTTTGTTTTATGCACTATCATTTCAAATAGACTTTTGCATGTGTCCTATGTTTTTACTCAGTCAAGATTAGCTGTGCTACATTATGTTTAAGATTCTCATTCATCTTCCACCCAAAGGCATCTGGGAAAATTGTTGCTGGCTGTAAATGCTGTGGGAATTCTGCTGTCTCAAACCTGTTGGAGTTGGTGCTGGTGTGCATTGTTAATGTGTTTTGCTTTAAATAAACAGAGTGCTTGCTCGAGCAGAAACATTTTCTGATAATTTTCATTTTTGTAGGCTGGTACCAGCATGACCTCCTTACTGCGTGAGTCCATGAAAGGGTCCCTGAAGTCAGCTCAGCTGGTTTCCATTGGTTCACTTGGACATGGAGCCCAGTATGTAATTGTGGCGAAGAATAATTATTGTGCCCTTCGTCTCGATCTGTGTCAACTATCATTGAGATTTTGTCTTTTGACAAGGTTTTTGATTGAATGAATTGTCTTAAGGTGAGCAGAATGCATTAGATCAATGCATGAACAATATGTGTGTGATGGCTATTTTTAAGTATATTTCTGTTTGTAAGAACACGTTGGAGTGCATGAGAACAATTTGAGAACTTGTTGGTAATTTACATGTTGTGAACATGCAGACAATGTCCTATTTGACAGTGCTTAATGGATATATATGAGTTGTATGGTATTTGATCAATGTTTTTATAAGAGGAATATATTGAAGTGCTTGTTTAAATGTTTTAATATTCTTGTTTAACAGTTTTATATTTAGCATGCTGTAATAAAATGGTTAAATGAACTGAAAATGAGTATTATAATTATTTCCATGTTAACAAACAGTATGTACTTCAGTGGCTCTTTGTGTGATTTCATAATAAAAGTATCTAAATTCTTGACAGACTATTATCTTTTATTTTAAAACTTAAAAATGATTGCTCAGTAGCACACAGTTGTTTAACACACGTACCAAAAACATCACATTAATGTGTTAACTAAAGTGACACAATTTGTGTGTTATATTTTTAACACATATTTTGTGTTGAATTTAACTCAATATGTGTTGTCCCTGAGCACACTCAATATGTGTTGAAAATAACACATGTTGTTTTTAACACATTTGTTTTAACAGTGATAAAGTAACACTGGCCCCAGTTCCTGCCCCTTCATTTGAATATGCCCTCCTCTTTCTCTCTCTCTCTCTCTCTCTCTCTCTCTCTCTCTCTCTCTCATGTGTCATATGAGCAGTGTGGATTACTGTAAGAGACAGAGGAAAGCTCAGTCTCAGTTGAGCAGGACTGCGTGATGATCTGCTTCAACATGAGGACCCTTCCAGTCAGCTTTCTCCTTCTGCTGGTGAGTTAAAGCGCTGTGTGATGTGATACACTAGAGCCACTCGCACCGCCTCATGTTTCTCTGCTCATATTTCTAGACAACAGCCATTTATGTTGCAGGAACTAAGTCTGTCACACAGTATAAAGCAAGGTTAATGAACAATGGGCTACAGAAGGTTTGCTTTCCATTGAATGATTAGCTGATTTGATCGTTTGCCATGCATCAGATAGTAAGAGCTGTAAAGGTAGGGCATGCTTGAATTAGTTCTGTTGAATTGGATTTGTGTTACTGCCTTTAGGGGTGTGGATGAAAGGGACTTTCAATCCTGTAAATCTTTCAGATCATGACACAGGAACATTAGTATGAACTTTAAGAATTGTTTGCATTGTAAGCTCATGCCTTAAAGTACCTGTATAGTCCAAAATATGCTTATTAGCAAAAGTAATTATTAATTATGTGAATACAGTCAAAAGTCTACTGTCAATATTTAGTTATTATATATAGTATTCTTTACAATCTGCACAGTTGTGAGCTTCATTTTTCAAGGATTGACATGTGAATAAGGGAATTTGTGATGTGGTTTACGAATGTATATGCCCTCAAGCATTCTTAGAAACATAAACATCACAGAAAGCTTGATTTACTGTGAATGCTGGCCAGAAATATACATCATGTTTTCGGGAAAACGCCTACATATTAATTTGGCAGTGGTCCTAAACTTTAGAAGTTTTGTCATCAGCAGTAACTAATTAGCTTTTGTCCTCATTAGCAGATACTGATAACTATTAAACTTTTATAGGATGCTTATTTTCAGCAGATGGACTGCAAACATATGGACTTCTGTGGCCTGTCAATATGGACTATAACCTCTGTGCTATCATTCCATAATCAAAATTTAATTAGATTTAATTAACAGTTATCATACCAAATTAGACTGTGGAATTTTTTTTTTTAATTAAATTAAGTCAATTAAATTTAAATTATAAATATATGCCTGCCAGACTAAATGAAGGGACTTTCACACTGACATTACGAATAAGGAATCCTTTATGCATCATAATTTATTCTCTCTTTTGGTGATAAAATCAAGTATAAACTTATATTTGATGTACATGAAGTGAAAGTTGTATTTACACTGAACAAAATTATAAACGCAACACTTTTGTTTTTGCCCCCATTTTTCATGAGCTGAACTCAAAGATCTAAGACTTTTTCTATGTACACAAAAGGCCTATTTCTCTCAAATATTGTTCACAAATCTGTCTAAATCTGTGTTAGTGAGCACTTCTCCTTTGCCGAGATAATCCATCCACCTCACAGGTGTGGCATATCAAGATGCTGATTAGACAGCATGATTATTGCACAGGTGTGCCTTAGGCTGGCCGCAATTAAAGGCCACTCTAAAATGTGCAGTTTTATCACACAGCACAATGCCACAGATGTCGCAAGTTTTGAGGGAGCGTTCAATTGGCGTGCTGACTGCAGGAATGTCCACCAGAGCTGTTGCCCGTGAATTGAATGTTCATTTCTCTACCATAAGCAGTCTCCAAAGGCGTTTCAGAGAATTAGGCAGTACATCCAACCGGCCTCACAACCACAGACCACGTGTAACCACACCAGCCCAGGACCTACACATCCAGCATCTTCACCTCCAAGACCAGCCACCCGGACAGCTGCTGCAACAATCAGTTTGCATAACCAAAGAATTTCTGCACAAACGGTCAGAAACCGTCTCAGGGAAGCTCATCTG